TTTATGACGCAATAAAAACTGTTGTCCTTGAAAATTATACTCCAGATCAATTTCGTGATCCATTTTTTCTAACAGATCATCGTATCCTACGGCTATAACAAGTAAGTTTTTAACATTCTATACACATAGAAAACACGTATTGATTACGATTCTGCTGACTAAAACACGGAACGTCAATATATTTATTCACTATGTCAATACAGATAACATTTACCACCGACGAATATAATATATATTTGAAAGGATGGAAATTTTATTTAACCGATTATATGACCATACTGGGTTAAATATCAACAGCGACTATCTATCAAAAAGACTAAAAATCTTAGCCATGTGATTTGGTTCTTTAAAGCGGCGAATTTAGAAGTAATATTTTTATAATAAAAGAATTCATGAAAAAGTTGTATTATCATAGAACTAATGATAAAATGTCACATTTAAAACTTTTAAATTTGTAATATTTGAAAGAAACTTGAAATCTCGTTTATTTACTCGGCAACAAAATACGATTTACCTTCAGGCAATACCTATACAATTTTTTCGTAACTCTCTCTTTTAAACAAAACATCAAAGCGTGTTGTTCCTAGCTTCAAAGGGCTTAACTCAATTTTTTGATCAATTTTCTCTCGTTTCATACGGTCGTTTCAAAGCTTATAATACCATTTACACCTTTGCCTTGTATTCCATCCATAGTTCCCATGCAATTTTATTATTATCGTTCCGAAGAATCTTCGCACTTCTGCTTCGCTCGTGATATGTATTCACATTTGTTTTGCCATTTTGTTTCGCCTTTCAGGAACGATATGTTTTGAAATGATATGATATTGAAAACAAACAGGCCATTAAACGAGAATGGATGGATTCAAACGGAATTAAGTGATCTCAATTCCACAGCTTTGGCGGCTGAACGTGTTTTCCTTTCGAACGGTTTTCTCGCGTCAAATGGTGCAAATTTCAACAAGTATCCACGTGTTTACTATTAAATTCATTTATTTCTTTTTTATTTATTTATTATCTTTTTGGCTCGGTTATCTTCGACGCATTTTGCGTATTTCTTGAGCAATTTTTAAGGTATTATTTCCTATATTATTGAAGAAAGTAATGATTTTTAGATTACCAATAAAAGGTAGATTTAAATTTTATACAAATTGGCATACATTGGCAATTGGCATAATTTAAAGAAATTGGCATACTGAGATGACATGAATGATCAATTACTGACATTCCTTTAGTATGTTATGGAAAATTTGTAAAGGTTTATGTTACGACCGTTCGCGGAGAGACGCGGTCGCAAGGAAAACGCGTCAGCGAGAGGCGTAAAGATTTAAAAAAGATTAAGATGACAGAGGTGGTTAAATGAATATGACACAGCAGAATAATTATATTTCACTATTTATTCTATTTTTTACGACGAAGATGGTTACAATGATGAATATATTTAATGATAAATGAACGACTGATTTACGGGTGTGTATACCCGATGGAAGGATGGCGACCACTTCTTAAAAAATCTAATATCAGTATTGTTTAAGGAGACGATGCTGTCTCGGAGGAAAAACTAAGGATGAGAGACTTAATCGAGAGAGTGAAGGAAACCAACGCGAGAATTGATTGTAATTTCAACAAATAAATTAAAAAAAAAAAACTTTGCATGGAATATATATTCTATATAGAATACGAATTCTTTCTCTTTACTAATTATCGTTTACGTGATAAAATAAGGCGTTTCAATTTGAATTCATTAAATGTTGTCTTAAATATTCAATTTGAAAATTCTTTGGAGAAAATCGAAGAAGATTTAGAACTATTTTTTAATCGATAAACGCTTCAAGAATTGAGAACCACTGACCTAGGGGAACTTGATTAATCGAGGGATGCGAATAGTTCCATGATATTGCAGAAGCCATTTACTACGTTCCCCTAATATGATTACATCAATAAAAGAGAGGTCACTACTTCTTCGCCATATTTCATACGTAAAAATAAAAATCTTATATCAAAGCAAAAAAAGGAGTCACTTGTTTTTTTTTTTTTTTTTTTGAACCAGATCGCCATGTCATTAAATCGAGCACAATAATTAAATTAGAAAATTGAGACACCGGTTAACACGAAACAGCCATCGTCAACTAAATCTTATGGACGTCTTACAGATTAGAGCGTTTCATTTACTTGAAACAAAACGAGAATTAACTCGTAGCAACTGAGTAGTAGCTCAGTGTAGAACATTTATCTTCGTTCTCGCCAGTACGGGGAGTACAAAAAGGCGATTTGCGAAGTCAAATTTGTGCATCCAAGTGAGCGGCTTTTCCAACAAATCGAAATTCGAAATGTTGTTAAATACGACTTATTTGGAGACAATGAGACGAAAATGATTGTAAGATTCCATGAAAATATTATGTTAGATGAAAACTGTGGGTGCCTGATGGTATGATCCTTCTCTAGTATACACACCTATAATAAAATAATAACAACTTACTACAAGTAAAAGAAACATATATACGTATCCATGGGGCTTTCAATTTATGAAAATTGAAAAGAAGATATATTCCATTTGGTCGTCGATTCTATTTAAATTCGTTAGTATTCGTTCCAGTTACGTCATTAATAAAACATTTTTATCGATAAGCTACCTAACAAAAAGACCTTTTTTGTCACCCCAAATTACTTCAAAAAAAAAATCCCTTGTCAAACACACCATGTTTCTCGAATGAAAACCTAAAAAGGATTTTCCAAAAAGATGTATTCAGTAAACCGTGGCTTGTGACTGGTGAGCTTGAAAAGAGTTGTTGAAAGTTGATATTCGACCAAGTTCTCGACCCTTCCATCCCGATAATTCCAATCAAAATTCGAATGAACCACCCAACGGAACGAGCATCGATCCCTATAGAATCTCTTTGAGCATTCTTCACTAAGGAATTATCGTCTTTTACCCCATTACGTACTTCCATCACAATCTTCGTAATGGTAAATGAAAAAGTAAATGTTTTTAAAACGCGATGGCGCTATCATTTTCTAAAAGCGTCGTCTTTACATTTTCGACGGCCACGGGCACATCCGATGATATACAAGATGGCCAGATATACAAGATATACAATTTTTCTTGATAACTATACCCTGTAACATAGATTGAAATCGTTGATTTGATCCCTCTGATATCGTTGTCTTATGAGAGTCTCGCCTGGTCTTGATTGGTTCTGTTGACTCTTATCGTTGTGAAAAATCGATTCGCTGTGTACTTTTTTTGTATACAGAATTATTTTGTGGTAGAATATAATGTTGTAATATTTGTGGTCTTTACTTTACTAATTTTTGGTTCGTTGGTTCATTGAGCGATTCATATTCCGCATATATTCCGTATTTGCTTCGCTTGGTACTTTTATAATTTTCGCAGTTACAATAAAAAATTTAATTCTTAACAGATTAAAGATTTAACCTCTTGCTTTATAGTGTACAACAATTTTTTTTTCTTCTTTCTTCTTTTTTTTTTTTTTTTTTTATATATATAGGTTATACGATCCATTAGTACACACGTTATTAGTACACACATATATATATTTACGAGACAAACTTTCATTTCAATCTATATTTAAGATTAATATTTTATCAGTTTCTATTCGTCACAACATCGAAGTAGTCAATAAGTTTGAAGAGTATAATTAAGGAAGTTATGAAGCAAGAGGTTAAGAACAAATTCTGAAAGAGACACAACTCAGTAGTACTGCTTTACATTACTTTGCGAATTACTTTTCAAGCATAAAAATAGTTTAACAGCCACTTATAGTTACTTCCTTACCATTACATTCATTAAATTCGTTTGATTTTGTAAACAAAATAACCACGCTGACCAGTCTCTTATTTAAAATAGAATTATTTTGTCATATATCCAACAGTTTACTTTCTCTTCGTAAATATTATTAATAATTTTGCCAATTTCGCATACTTCCATTCTTCGTATAAGTGATAATAGAATCAGAAGAGTTTCATAGCAACATTGAACAACATACAGTCAACTACAACACCGTTAGACACATATAACAGCAATACAATGGATTATAATTTTTTTCTTTTTTGTTTTTTGTTTTTTCTTTTTTCTTTTTTCTTTTGGGGGATCGAATCGTGTACCTTTTGTCTAGCATGTGTCGAAACGTATCTGACGTAATATTACCTCGCTGTTTGAGTACAAAAATCTATTCAAATGAAACATGAAAGAGAAAAGAAATAAGAAAACAAACACTCACATACGAATCTTCATTACATTACAGTATTTACTGAAAATTTTCAACGCGAGAATTGATTGTAATTTCAACAAATAAATAAAAAAAAAAAAACATAATTGTATATTAGGTACCTTAATTACCTCGAGGCATAATTACTCAGACACGTTATAGCGTACCTTCTTCCCTAATGGCTGATGTTGATCGTTGACGTTTATAATGAAGGATTTTCGTCAACGGCGCCATCTGGATCTTTGTTGGAAAATTAAAATAGCGGTCTCAGCGCTACTACGCCCATCGCCCAGAGTACCACTTGTTGCTGAGTAGCGGTGGAATTTTGAACGGCAACAACTATACCAGGTCCGGTAACGTTCTGCAGATGGTCCAGGCATTCGAACTCGCAGCATCGCTCACCAACACGGAATTTCTTGCATGGCTGTAGTAAAAAGAAATCGATCAATTGTACAGATCAATCGTCACTCGACTGCTCGAGAATTCAGGTCATCCAGAGAATAGAATAGAGACGTGGAAAAATGTAGTGCGATCATCGCAGTGGGAGGAAATAGGGGGATAGGGACGAAATGAATGAACGAGATGTTAAGGACAACTGACGATAAGTTCTTCTTTTGTCGAGAATTGCATGTTTGTGAATGGTTTGTGGGTGGTTAGGTGGAGAGAATTGAAGAGTTTGGAGGTGACTGGAAGAGTGTTTTGGACAAGGTAGATTGCAGAATGGTTGCGGTAGCATTGTGTTAATTATGGGTTTGTACGTGTAATCTTTGTATGTATCACTACATACAACCTAACGTATATTTTTAATAATACATCAGAGTTTTAGTTATTTCATAGCTATGAATTTTATACTCTATAATCTTGACGTTTTATTTCACAAAAGCTTTTGAATATCCATACAAATTAAATGAACCAATGTATTCATTATCTTATAGAGAAGATATATTATTTTTAATTATGTTCCAAATATTTATCATGATCCTGATTTCCTTATTCTGAAAATTTGAAAGGAAGTTTTGTAGTTTGATACTTTCAGCGACAAAGGGTCAATATTGCTTTAGTATATTTCGTCACATATACATGTATATCTATATATCCACCGAAAATGCGCTCTTGTAGACAAACGCTCGATTCGCGTAATAGCTTTTAAAGCTTGTCTCATCTCAATCCGTTGGAAAAAGTTTTTCCTGTAGCATATTTTATTGTTACGAACCAACAAGGTCTTTGTTTGTTTCCTTCTTTTTTTTGCTCCAATTTCCCCATTGTTTTTTCAAGGATAGTATTTCAAAGCCATTAGTCAAGTTTATTGTAACAATAAACGTACGTTTCGGAAACATTTTGTGCTGTGAAACAGAATACTCTAAAGTTTGAAGGTCACATCGATTTTCGAAAGTTTATAAATGGAGGTGTATGACAGTATCACCAGCTGTTGCTGTCCTCAAGCTCCAAAATACGTTCTGACTACTATTTTATGTATCAGTATGTCTTCATTCATCATCTCCCATGCCATCCACCAACGTGTTCTTAACATGTTACTCCTAGTAAAATATTAATGTTGAGTCAGATATCCAACTGAATAATCTTTTCGGTGTCTACTATAAGACATTTAAAACCAAGGCTCGTACATACGTGTGCTTATACGTCAGATGTAATACTTAACACGAAACCTGCTTATATCAATATTAAATTTATGCATAGTAGGATGTTCGACTTTTGTCAAAATGAAATTATAATACATACAGTTTCACCGTGGAAAAGTGAATCTTTCTAGAATGTCCACGCAAATGCAGGGGAGCGGAGGGGGGAGGGGGGGGACTGTGCATGCACCAAACAATTTTACGTTCATAATTTTTCACACAAATGTACAACTGTAGGGAAAAAATTATCTCTTATTTTTCGGATGTTAGGAATCGACAATATCGCATAACGGAATGCTGTTTCTACGTATTCTATTTTTGTTACGAAAGTGGTACAAACGAAGTCCACATAAGAATAGTACAACAAAATCGGTTGAGGTTAGGTTATCGTGCAGATATCGCGGCTTTTGCATTGGAAATCACGCAACTGTCAGTCTCGTCGTTCCTTGTAAACGAGAGAAAGGTATTGTAATCGGTCGGAATTAACATGAAACTCGTCGCATGACCATACAGCCTGAATGTTGAATAAACGAGAATAGAACGCGAGCTATGTGATTCTAACCGTTTAGGCGGAAACTAATGATTGTAACCAGAGCCGAGATATATGCCAATATTACTTTGCTCGACAAAGCGTATAAGATGAGAAGAGAATCGTGATAAGGTAGAACAAGAGACAGATATTCTCTACGTAAAGCAAGTCTGTCAACTAGATTGAAATCCTATAGCTATAACTGCACTGAATCCATATTCTGGCGAATTGTCTTTTCTTGTCTGGCGAATTGAATGAAGCTTCTAAAGAAAGGAATTGATACAATAACTACTGTTCATTCATAACTACTGTCGTAAGAATCTATATATTTGTCTATCTATATCTATATATATCTGTCTATCTATATTTGTCAGAATGTCATTTTATCCAAAAACCCATCCTCTGTAATCATAGTTTAACGAAGCATAATTAATAGAAGAGGTAGAGCGTTAAATGGAGATGATTTAATCACAGCTAAGTAGATAAATCTCTATATTAGTCTCTTTAATTAAAATGTCCTACGTTTTATTTGCGTCATTTTTTTTCTTCATCCAATTTAAAATGTTTAAATAACAATAGCCTATACAATATAATTTTATGTAAAAAAATTGATTATACCATGTTTATTACAGATATTTAACATTTTTGTGTACATACAAAATTTAAATTATACCTCGCTTGAGAACAAAAATTCTATTTGTTTTCCTAACATGTACTAATAATTATTGATCAAAGCAGAAAAAGCTGGAGGAGATTACTTAGGAAGATTACTTAGCATCTTATATTCTTGGCACGGCCCGAACGTTTTATCTTCCTTTAGATTTTCCTATATTTCCATTTCTCTGACTTGCTATTTTAGTTAGCTTAGTATACGTGCTATACATAGGTATGTATAGTGTCATGATCGCGACAGTTGTGAGTTACCCACGTTTTATCCTCTGTAAACTATTTATAAAAGAAGAACAAATTACATGTTAGAACTTTCATTCAATTTACCAATACAAATAATTTTAAACAAGAAAAAAGACCTAATGCAGTGGTTTCAACTTAAATATATCCAACAGTTATTTGCGAATAAATAGTATAAATCTTTTAGCAACATGAAATTCGCGATATTTATTCAAATATTTATATTTACAGTGCGCCATCAGCAAAGAAAACGTGTTTATCGAAAACGTGCTATCGATTTTATGCTTTTGCCACGCAAACAGCGAAATTGCAACTCAAAATTGAATTGACAGTGCAAAGCGTTGACGTTACGACATCAATTACATACTTCAAAAACATCGAAGGTATCACACGGAATCAAAGAGATTCTATGAGAAGTTAAACGCATAATCACCCTATTGGGAATAGGATCGCTTTGATTCGAGCTCAAACATAGGGAAAGCTGAAAGAATCTTTTGCGGATCTTCCTTCCTCTCTACGTTGGATTTTATACAAAACGACTTTAACCTTTTCAAGGAAATACGGAAATAAGGATTTTAGATAGAGAGATTTATCTGAAAGGAAATGGATGGAAAACGTAGAATCAGTTCTTGTTGGTTGAAAGATTTTTCCTCTTCACAGAGATTCAAGCTTTAAAGAACGATCAAATATGTACGCAGCTGACTTACGCGTGAAGTTATTATTAAAAAAAAGTGTTGCATTTAAAAGGATAAATATTAATTTAAATTTAAAGAAATTGTTAGTTCAATTATCATAAGTTTAATTTAAATTTAAAAAAATTGTTAGTTCAATTATCATAAATTTAAAGATATGTAGATATTGTATTTTGTATTTACACATCGGAAATCAGACAGCAATATTAATTAACACACCTGGTCAAACGCGCACGTACTTCAAACCCGTGCTTTAAAATCGATATTCGCTGAAACAATACATCGCTCTGCGCTTCCAATTTGTTTTCGCACGAAGAATCAGTCCACTCATTGTTACCGTCACCATCTCTACCGTAATCTATATTACTCGAATAAATTCCATATCTTGATTGGAAAATTACATATTTTAACGAAGTTCCTTATTTTTTGTTTTTTATGACTTTAATTGGCAATTTCCATAATGTTTTATAACTTGACAATAGACTGATAATATTTCAGGATATATATATACATACATCATGTTTTTGAGGATTCTGTAGTAAAATAATTATAGGCAATACGCAAACTATTTAAGAAAAAATTACCACCTTCGAGTAATAAATTATAGAAGGTTACCAATGTAATTTAAAACTTGAATATAATCTATTACACGTAATAAAGAAAAAGATTTCTTTGCAAACGGTAACTCGAAAATTACAGCCATTGCTGTAGAAACATAATTTTACACGGAGAAGAATTTCGCTAGAAACTCTCGACGATGTCACATCAAGCGAAAATTCAATAAAGCGATTACTAACCATACTACCAGCGGCAATCGTGTTACGGCAATTCGTAAATAAGTTAGTCTTCTATTTGCAGAAACGTCTCTGGCAATATCGTCACACTCTTGATTACGTCGGCGCTTTCAAATGGTCTTTGGAAGAAAGTTTTCCATTATCTACTTTTGCCCATGGCGTCGTTCCAACAAATGAATTCGAGTTCCGAATCGCTTTGTCTCGTATCACGACTTTATAACGATGTTTTTTTAAACTTTAAACGATCGTAATAAATATATTTACGAACGATGGCTGTTATCTGATCTGTCTTAAAGTTTCAACTAATTAGTGCCCTATTACTTTGGACGTTATGAAATGTTGTATAACCAAAGACTTATCTTCCCTTTTAGTAGTTGCATAAGAGAAGACTGAGCCATTGAAACGCTCGAATAAATTAGCTGATTCGCTTAACGTATTTTTACTTCCGACGAGCTAAACACAAGAGCAGAAAGCATAAGGAATAATATAGAAACGTCAAACGTATACAGAAATATATTTCGTAAAAGCATTAGCACGTAACATGTCCTTATAATCCTATTTAAGTATAGTAACATGGCTTGTATCCATTTTCATGAATTATAACTGACATTTAAAAGCATTCATGTAGACATGTAACTCCCGTTAATTAATAATTTAACAATGCGTCATGAAACGTATCATTTTCGTCTCTTCCTTTGTTTCGTAATACACGGGAACGAATTTGTAAATAAAGATGTATAATCAACGATAACATATGACAGCGAGTATAATAACTGTCAGCAAAGGAAGACGTCGGTAAAATGATTGTGGGTGATTTCAGTGTATCGGTAAATAAGCTTTGATAGACATTGCCGGGGGACACGGTGTCAGTGAAACCGTGTCGATGAAATGATTGTCAGTGATTTAAAGATAACCCAATTTATTGATCTGTCTCCCCTTCATGGCGTTGTACGTCTCTCTATAGAACATATTCTACCTCGGAGGGCTGAAAAGTTTAACTTGGTCTCACTGGACCGGACTGTAAGAAAATTGAAATGCAAAATCCACTTATGAGCACAACGGTTTAGATGGAAAGTTCGATAGGACAATTATGTATATTAGCCTGAAAGGAAGCTCGTGGCTTCGCACGCAACACGTAATCTCCCTCGCTGAAATAATCCTATTACAACGATACGATTTAAAATTTTCCTTAACAGACCACGCAATGTAATTCTTCATCTACAATTTTTTATTCGGCCTGAAACAAGAGACTTTCGAAACCTTATAGAGTCTCGCGAATCTAAAACTCAGGTTTCAACGTATTTTCGCGTCTTATTCTATAATACTGAAGACATTAAAGGTGTTAACGATTATTGTCTCACTATGCACGTACATCAGACGAGTACTTACGTAAGAGGCGAATGGAAATGGAAACAGCCGAGAATAATTGAAGATAATTTGAATACGTCCCAGGCTATAATAGAATTTCTCGTGAACCGTAATTGATTCGCAGAAGTGAATTCCTGCTTCTCACGACTAGCAAAGTGTTTCGCAAAGAAAAAAAAAAAAAAAAGAAAAATGGTATCGGAAGGATAGAAAAAAAGCGATGGCCTACATCAAGCAATCTTCATGCCGATAATGCATTTATTATTCAGGTCGATCATTTTCTATCGCGTAACAGGCAGAATAACTGGGATAACTGACAGAACGAGCGCATAAATCTTGCATCTCTCGACCTGACTTCTCCCGATGGAAAAATATTTACTGGTCTGGAATCGTGCATCGCTAATTAGTAAAAAAGTAATAAGCAAGAAAGCAATTATACTACCGGATTGGTATTTCTACTTTATCGGAGATTAATTAACCTGAGTAAACTAACAAAAACTTATCGAAAATCAATCGAAATTAAATCACCTTTTCAAACAGGCTATAAATAGCCAACTAATATTTGCAGTAATAAACTTCATTTTCGAATAAAGCATACGCTCTATAAATTGTGAATTTATAATTTCGTTATTATATCATTTTTCTTAGTCTAAACTGAATTCAGTGAAAAGAGCTTTCAATTGAATTACACACTTCATTAGTTTATGAATTATATTCGTTACCATACGTACAAAAGAAGGTTGACTGGTTTAAAAATTCAAAGGATAGAACCTCCAAGCTCACGATTGGAAACAGATTCAGTTCAATGGTTTAATTTACCATTTAATTGAATTCTCTGGCAATTTCAGCGAACTGTGGGCTTTAGAAGTGTCCAGCTTTCAAAGGCAAGACTTCCTCTATTTTCCTTTTTCTTTCAGTTCCAACCTCAAGTAATTGACCTGTTAATTCGACGCTATATCTACATGCTCGCAAGGGATTCAGACGACTTCATTGCGTTAAATTCGCAATTTAGCAAACACGAATGTCTCAATCAATTTGTAGTTCGAAACAAATAAGAGATAATCAATTTTTCAAAATAATCGAAAACAATCGATATATTCAATGCATTTGTCAATGCATTTGATTTATATGTTCATTTAGCATTTTTATAATAAAAGCGTAGAACACGTGTGCACACACATAATATTCCATGAAATGATTTATACAGACTATGATTTATACAGAGTCTCGTTTTATCATATTATAAAAGAATGAATTTTCCCCAATAAATGTAACATCATATGAAATCTCGTTTAAAAAATTCAGTTTTTATTCTCGTCAAATTAATTTAATATCGGAATATGTCATTTTAGTCGTTATACAAATTTTATGTCAAAAAGCGTTCACAGATACATATATAAATAAATGTCCAATCCTGTGCATTTATTTAAGCTGAAATCTGAACTTAAATATTCATTAATAATATTCTGACGAATATGTAATGAAAGATGAAAGCAGCTTTATTTATTTTATATGATGGCTCATACTTTTTATTCGTTTCATATTTTTCGTTGTCAGCGCGTAACTACCTACCAGCCGCATGAATGCCAGGTTTTACTACTCAGAAGCGAAGAAGCACAGATGCAAATATACGTTACCTCGCATGGAAAAACGTTAGATAAATATAAAAGTCATAACGTAGCTATTTATACGTAGGGAATATTTATTTTCGTATGAAATATTTTTTCTCCTGAATTCTCATTATAAATGTACGTCCATTTCCAACGTTAAAGTGCTTCTCTGCTTTGAAGACCTTCATTTAAATATAACGGCTA